ACTGTAATGGTATTTCACAATATTACTGTTTTTACTGTATTTTTCATCAAACAAATGTAGCATTGGTGGGCAAAACTTTTAAATAAACTTTGTACAATTGTACTTCGATTTTGTTTTGTATAGAGATTTCAATGTGGCATGACACCAAAGTGAATAACTGATCTAAAGCAGTGAAATCTTACCCAGCTCCAATCACCAGTGAACGTCTGACTGTGCCGTCATTGCGCTTTATGCCACAGTTTTGATCCTCTGCTCCGATTCATTTAGGGATCTGTTTGACAAAATAGTCTGTCATACCTGAAACAGAGGAAACAGAAACAGTACTGAGATATTGATCCAGCTGAGCTGTGTGAACAGAAGAATTTATAAAGTTTATTTTTTAAAGAACAAATTTTTAAAAACATTTTCTGCAACCCGAGGACTAAGTCATCACCGTGTACTTATCTCTTCTGAGGTGGTGGCCCAATTTCAGATATCATCTATTAACACCAGCTAAGCCTGGTTATTGGTTGTCCGTTTGATTCGATGGCATATCCCATTCCTGGCAATCTGATTGCAAACAGCTTTAACAGCTTCCAAATAGGACAAGTTATTCAAACCACAGATTAAATATACTATCAAATATCATCTGATGGTGTTGGAGGTTGTTTGAGTTGACTGTTTGGTCGGATGAATGGCAAAGGCAGCGTTGTTGTAGGATGTTAAGATGAGATCAACTCCAAGCTAATTAGGCAGTTATTCATAAATGAAATCTGTGAGTGCAAATGAAACTGGCACAGCACATTTGGCCTAGGCGTTAAGTACACTTTCACGACAAGGAACACTGACTTACAAGCTTTAAATAGACCATAAATGATGGGAGAAGAAACAAATACATATTAGTAATTGCATTCATGATGAATTTACAGGCTTGTCGACAGCCTGGTCGTTAATGTAGTGACGATCCATCAGCCGTAGTGTGTGGAGAGTGACTGCAATTCTTCACCCCGCAATTAATCTGCGCCATAACAGTCTTCCAGCACCCGAGGAGAGGCTTGTTAATTTAAAAACTGCAGTAAATCACACCGTAAAGAGGGTATTGATCATTTTCTATAAAATGAAAATATAGACGAAGCACTTAAATCAGATATTTGCTAGTTTATAACCTTCTGTCGGATACAAGCCTCATTGACAAGGCTCCCATTTGTCACAATGTAACAATGTTATGGCGTAAAAAAAGAATAGGTATACCAGGAGGATAGGTTTAGATAGGTGTAGATAACTTATGGTGATTCAGCCAAGAAGAGCTTTAAAAGGCAACATAAGCAACACACATTTTCATTAATTCTTCCGGGAAAATTTATTTAATGCTTTTCATTGCACGTCTGCTTAATAAAAAGTCACAGAGGCTGATCTTCAGGATGCCTGTCTGGGAGTCAGCAGTAAAATCTCAGCATGTCAGTGCTAGAATCCCTGACCATTTTCAAGCGACAGCTGAAAACTCATCTCTTTCGAAGCTACTTGACTTCATCATCATAAAAAAAAATAAAAAACAAAAAAAATTCTCTCTCTTTATCTATTCCTTCTCTTTCTAGCTTGTACTTATTTGAACAATGTCTAAAAACTTGGTATTACAAGCACTTCCTGTATCTGTTTGCCTCTTTTAAGAAGAATCGCTTTATGTATCCCCCAATTGTAAGTCGCTTTGGATAAAAGCGTCTGCTAAATGTCTAAATGTAAATGTAAATGTAATTAACACCTCATTTACGTGTGGCTGTCTGCGGAGCATTGTAGCAGTTACTATTAAAAGCCTTGTCTTTTATGCCTGCTTCACACCCAAATCACAGAAGCTCAAAGATGAAATCCCAGCAATTTAGTAATTCCTTCAGGTCATAATCTCATGGACTAGAAAAGAAGGCGGTCTACAGACAAAAGAAGCATGACATTAAACAGTCTTTTCAAATCACCCCAGTGGCCATCAAGTATATCAATGAGAACTTGAGCAAAGCTCATAATGCCGGTTCACTTTTTCCTCAAGCTTCTGATAGTAATCGTTTAAATAGGATAATGTCCAATATGTGTTTAACATATTTAATGAACTCTATGCACGTGCATTGATCAATGTTTAAAAACATACACATTTTTGGGGTAAACTATTCCTTTAAGAGGTCAGTCACAATTCCCACACAGTCCCCACTATTTCATCTATACACAAATGTGTTTATCATTCATGTTTATCAAGATATGGAGGGGGAAAAAAGCAGCCAAAGTGAATGATGCATTTAAGTACAGGTTGTCCACCCTGCCTATGTGGCGCGTTTAATGTTCTCCATACACCAAATAAGGACGTACTTTAGCTAAAAGCCCCAGAGGGTTAGTTAATGTTCAGAGCACATGCCATACGCTTGAGTGAGAGAGAGAGAGAGAGAGAGAGATGCACTCCTCTTGTTAACGTGGCAGCTCCTTAAGGACACTTCTCTCACTGGAATGCGCGTATGAACTGAGGTTCTTCTAAACCCTACGTCCATCACATGTCTGCATACACACACATACACGCTCTTATGAATGGAGGCAATTAAAAAGCTAATCAAATTAGTCTGAAACAAATCTCAAAAGAAGAGTGTGGAGTTTCAAAGACTAAGGGGAGAGGAGGAGATTTTGAAGAAGATTTGAGACGGTGGGGGCGGGGGAGAATTTGAGGTTGAAGAGTTCATTCTCAACAATACACAACAGTGAAGCTTTTTAAATTTTCCTTTTGCAAAGACAGAGACAAAAAACCTAACGTCAACAACACTTCCCACTGAAATATGCGAGTAATTTCCCAAACGTAGCATTATAGACTCAATCAATGGCTCTCACACCCTTATCAGACATAGATGGGGAGAAATACATTGAATATGAAAACAAAGCCCACACACATCTACTCTAAAAAAGCAACTACGATGTTCTTGAGAACAAGGACATATCCAGAAGTCCTTGTCGGGTACGCTCACAATGTGCAGAAGCGTGGAATCCATTAAGAGAGAGTAACGAGAGTCAGCACATGGCCACATTCACAGGAAATCATCTCACACTTCATCTGACCGGCTCTGCATTCGAGAGTAATGGAGGTTTCAGCTTCGTATGATAGAAAAGAATGAAAATGGGGAAGGTGGGAGAGCGGCAGAAAGAAGCCGACAGAAGAGCGGCGGATAAAATATGGCCAGTTATCAGATGTGCACTTGAAAGCACCCCATTCTTAACTTACTGCGGGCTGGCAGATTCAGTGCCTGTGAGGATGGATTGGACAAGAACATCTTAATATCAGATTCAGTGGATTCTAGAAGCGCTCAGGCTTGTGTTCAAATAGAAAAACAGGACAAACACTGCCGAAAACAGTCAGAAAACGACCTCTCCTTGAAGATTGCGCAGAATTATTTATTTCGTCTGGCCCCATGTATACCATGGACAACATTAAAAACACTGAGAGAGCCAAAACAACAGCAACAAAAGCAACATCAAGGAGAAAGACCTCTTTGTTTGACCCCGTGGACACATATCCAGGGCCCCAGCATTTTTTGTGGCCCTATAAATGGCCCGTGTAATCCTGCAGCCCCTCCTCCAGTCAGGCACTTTGCAGTGGAAATGCGACCCTCACCGTCACAGTGGATTATGGGAACAAAGAGAAGTTGGGAGTTTGAGTGTCGCAGTAGGGGAGATGTGTGGGGCATGTCAGTCTCTCAGGGATATGGTGCTCATCTGTAAAATTCCTATGGCTCTTGAAGAGGCTTTGCATACATTCTCCCGATATCTCTACACTGCCTCCTGGAATTCTCAGTCTCATCTAGTCTTACTCAGGATCCAAAATTAACTTTTTGCCACACATGCTAAGGTGGGTAAACTGGCTATGAAATGTTTCTTACCAGCCATGAAACTAGGGCTGGGTATCGTTCAAAAATTTTCGATATCGACCGCGCTACTCTATACTGGTGGTATTACAGTACCACGAGAGCTAAAGAGAGCAGACTGCTCCGTGCGCTTTCGAATCGCTCTCGCGGATGTCAAACACTGATCGATCTGCGCCTTACTGACGTTGATGAGATTAACCCCTTAGGTATCGAAATTTGGTACCGAACGACGAGACGTTTTTCGATACTCGATGGTATCGAGGCAATTCGGTCGGTGCCTAAAAAGTATCGAACTCGATACCCAGCCCTACATGAAACTGTCTTTTGCATTGTTTTAATTAACAATATACATTATCGTTCAAAACTTTCAGTCAGTAGGATTCTTTTTAAAAGAAATTAAGACTTGCATTCAGCAAGGACACGTTCAATTGATCAAAAGTGACAGTAAATACATTTATAATGTTATAAAAAACACTTTTGAGTATACTCAAAGAATCCTTAATCACAAAAATATTAAGCAGCACAACAGTTTTCAACATTGACAATAATAATAAGAAGAAGAAATGTTACTTGAGCAGTATATTAAAATGATTTCTGAAGGATCATGTGACACTGAAGACTGCTGTAATGATGACAGCTGATATATTTGAATATATAATATTTAAATATATTAAATCAGAAAACTTTAAAAAAATGCTATTTTAAATTTTTAAAGAATTTCAAAATACATATTTTTTGTTTTTACTGTATTTTTGATCAAATAAATGCAGCCTTGGTGAGCATAAAAGGCTTAAAAAACATAACTGTACTGCATACACAACAGCAAAGGTATTGTAGTCATTTTCAACTAAACATAATCTATGTTCACCAGCTAACATTATCTACCAAACCAGAAGAATTTGCAACAATATAGAATACATAATCACAGGCAAACAAATAATTGAAATTCACAAAGCATAAAATGACACGTACAAGATCAATAAATGTTAAATTGTCAATGGCGGTGCAGCACTGGCATGAAAGAGCAAGTAACTGTTCTGTTAACTGGCCTGAAATGCTATTACACTGGCCTCGGGCCAACAGGCCATCTTTACTGCTGAGCCCTGTAATTAGTTGGTTTGATCTGAATTGTTACCTATATAAGAATGGGTCAGTCCGTCGTTCTTAAACCATGTAATGTTGCAGTTTTTAATAGGATTACCAGACAACTCAATTAAGTCAACTCATACTCACATTTAGCACTTGCCAAGTGTTAATTTTGGACCTTGGTCTTACTCACTCTCTTGCCATCTCTCCATATGAACAGAGACGGAAGATCCTCACTCTGAATCGAAGGCCTGAGACACCTTAGCAGCTGCTTCATAAATGCTTCTCTGCCGAGTGACTCTACCTAAAGATACCAGTATCTAATGATTTCCAGCAGCTCTCTCT